TGTTCTACGGCACTGGTCGTGGGGGTAACCTTAGGTGAGCTTGAAAAACTCATTTTTTTTAACAAAACAAAAAGAAATTTATCATTTCGGGTGACCTGGTGCCTTTTTAATGTTCCAGTTCAGGAACTTCAGACATCCAGGGTCGCTACTCCCCAAAAGGAATTGATCTATACCCTTATACATGGAAGAGACCCAATTCCTTGCAGAACTACATACATAGAATATAAGTCTCAAGGGGAGGATTCACTTTTTTTAATAGGAACACGACCCAATTCCATTAGTTTTCATTGCAAAGTAGTTTTTTTTTATCATAGTTCTACGACACCAGTCGTGGGGGTTCCCTTAGGTGAGCTTAAAAAACTCATTTTTTTAATACAATATAAAAAGAAATTGATCATTTCAGGGGACCTTTTTTTCCTGAAATGTTCTCCAGTTTAGGAACTTCAGACATCCAGGGTTGCTACTCCCCAAAGGGAATTGATCATACCCTTATACATGGAAGAGACCCAATTCCTTGCAGAACTACATACATAGAATATAAGTCTCAAGGGGAAGATTCACTTTTTTTTTGAGGAACACCACCTAATTCCATTGGTTTTCATGGCAAAGTAGGTGTTTTTCATTGTTCTACGACACCGGTCGTGGGGGTAACCTTAGGTGAGCTTGAAAAACTCATTTTTTTTTAACAAAACAAAAATAAATTTATCATTTCGGGTGACCTGGTGCTTTTTTAATGTTCCAGTTCAGGAACTTCAGACATCCAGGGTCGCTACTCCCCAAAAGGAATTGATCTATACCCTTATACATGGAAGAGACCCAATTCCTTGCAGAACTACATACATAGAATATCATAGAATATAAGTCTCAAGGGGAAGATTCACTTTATTTTTTAACAGGAACACCACCCAATTCCATTGGTTTTCATTGCAAAGTAGTTTTTTTTCATTGTTCTACGACACCGGTCGTGGGGGTAACCTTAGGTGAGCCTGAAAAACGCATTTAAAAAAAAAAATATCATTTCGGGTGACCTGGTGTTTTTTTAATGTTCCAGTTCAGGAACTTCAGACATCCAGGGTCGCTACTCCCCAAAGGGAATTGATCTATACCCTTATACATGGAAGAGACCCAATTCCTTGCAGAACTACATACATAGAATATAAGTCTCAAGGGGAAGATTCACTTTTTTTAAATAGGAACACCACCCAATTCCATTGGTTTTCATTGCAAAGTAGGTTTTTTTGTTTTTTTTTCATTGTTCTACGGCACCGGTCGTGGGGGTAACCTTAGATGAGCTTGAAAAACTCATTTTTTTGAATACAATATAAAAAGACATTGATCATTTCGGGGGACATCAGAAGCTATATTTTTTGACACCAACCGTGAAAGACCATGAAAACCAGGGGAATGTTCATCCATTTTTTGAGGACCACCACCTAATTCCATTGGTTTTCAAGGTAGAGTAGTTTTTTTACACTAGTTCTACGACACCGGTCGTGGGGGGGGGGACCCTTAGGTGAGCTTCAAAAACTCATTTTTTTAATACAATATAAAAGAAATTGATCATTCCGGGGGACCTGTTTTTTGTTGTTGAAACGTTTTAGGAACTTCAGACATCCAGGGATGCTGCTCCCCAAAGAGAATTACGTATATAATATATACCCTTATACATGAAAGGGACCCAGTTCCTTGCAGAATTACATACATAGAATATAGGTCCCCAGTGAACATATTCATCAATTTTTCCAGGAACACCACCCAATTCCGTTGGTGTTCATTGCAACATATTATTTTCTCATAGTTCTAAGACACCGTTCGTGGGGGGGACCCTTAGGTGAGCTTCAAAAAACTCATTTTTTAATACAATATAAAAAGAAATTGATCATTTCAGGGGACCTTTTTTTCCTGAAATGTTCTCCAGTTTAGGAACTTCAGACATCCAGGGTTGCTACTCCCCAAAGGGAATTATGTATATAATATATAATTATCCTTATACATGACAAGGACCCAATTCCTTGCAGAATTGCATACATATAATATAGGTCCCCAGTGAAAATATTCATCCATTTTTCCAGGAACACCACCCATTTCCGTTGGTGTTCATTGCAAAATAGTTTTTGTCATAGTTCTACGACACCAGTTGTGGGGGATACCCTTCAGTGAGCTTGAAAAAAAATATTATTTTAAATACATTATTAAAAGAAATTGGTCATTTCGGGGACCTGTTTTTTGTTGAAACGTTCTAGTTGAGGAATTTCAGACATCCAGGGTTGCTGCTCCCCAAAGGGAATTATGTATATAAAATATATACCCTTATACAGGAAAGAGACCCAATTCCTTCCAGTACGGATGATATTTTTATAATTCAAAATATTTTAGTGGGCTGAAAGTTTGAAACATGTCCATTTATGTCCATTTATGCTGCAGTATGGGTGATATTTTGATAATTCAAAAGATTTTAGTGGGATGAAATTTCGACAAATGTCCATTTATGTCCATTTATGCTGCAGTATGGGTGATATGTTGATAATTCAAAAGATTTTAGTGGGATGAAAATTTGACAAATGTCCATTTATGTCCATTTATGCTGCAGTATGGGTGATATTTTGATAATTCAAAAGATTTTAGTGGGATGAAAATTTGAAAAATCTCCATTTATGTCCATTTATGCTGCAGTATGGATGAAATTTTGATAATTCAAACAAATCAAAAAAAAACATCTTCCAGAATTGAAAAAATATTCTATGTACACCTCTGGGATATTCTATGTACACGTTTTTTTCAATTCCTGAAGATGCCCTAAAACGTAAAAATTTTTCAATTCTATATTCTATGTACTAGTAGTTTCTTATATATAGACATTGCATCTCTCTTTTGCAGTGCTGAGACCCAATGAAACTCGGATCTTCAGGATGGGAACCACCAAAGAAGTTGGCTGGTAATGAGTTCATCAAGTTTAACGACGCAGCCAGAAAGCCCCAAAAAATTGGAGCCAATAGATCCAAGTCCTGGAGAGATGGCATCCCCAATTTTCTGAAGTTAATGTTTAGTCACGCATTTGTGCGGTTGATAGTCAAAACTGGACATAATCGGACTATGTTTTGGTTCATGGGAAAAGGAGGCACCTGCTCCCATCTGCTCCCTGCCAGGATTTTCTGACTTAGTCAGACATGCTGTGAGCGCCTTGCGTTGCAGTCGTGGCTTTGTGATGTTCAGAGCTGCCCTCCATCAACCTGGGGATGGCTTTAAAGAGATGGATCATCAATGACAATCAAGGGGTAAAGTCACCAGCAACCATGGGGGATATCATAACCATATAGCAAATATTAGCACATATAAACTCATATAAACGGATCATAATCCCATCCCCTAATATCGCATTCACTCATCTGGGCCCAACGGGGGCCCAAATAATTGGATCGACTGCTTGGAAATTCATTTGGGGGGAATCTTGGGGGAACGGTTTCAATATGGTTTGGCAAGGACCTTTTGGGATGACATCCTCAGCCCCCAGTGGCCGCAGCTAAAGTCACATAGCTCAGCTGGAGGCTGCAACACAACGATCACAGGGAAACCAAGAGTGAATCACGCTGGAAACCTGTCTTGTTCAATACCACAGTTTTTGAGCAACTGTGGATGCTACAAATTTTAAAAGACTGTGGATTGCTGGAAGCTCTTCATTTGCTTCTTTTCAAGCAATCGCTGCTTGGAAGCATTGCCTAGAGCTTGCACGGCTGAGTGCGTATAGGTGATATTGCATATAGATTTCGTTCATTTCCTTGTGGACTTTTAGATGTTTCACATCAAGATGATGAAACTCAACTGGCAAAAAACAAGAAAACCCACTGCAAAGTTGACTAACGCATCCAGGTTTTTCGTTGCCGGCCCAGCCCCGCGTCCCGGGGGAAGTCCCGAGCATGTACGCGACGGGCATGGATTGGATCACCGCCTGTTGGCTAGGCTTGCAGAGGTGCTCATAAAGATCTAGATCAGATATGATTTGATCAGATGATAATCTCTCAAAAGATGGTAAGAATCATGTAAAATCACTTCCCACTGTTTCGAGTGGGATGTCATTGATTTTTTGGTCGATTCTGTTGCAGCTGTTGCCCAATACACCGAGTCTTCACTCTGATTTTCACTCTTCGCTTGTCCTGCCTAATGCTGTCCTTGAAATCGCCATTCCCTTGTGTCATGGTCCGGGCAAAGGAAGCATGGACCTTATTGCGGTATATTGCGGTCCTGCGGAAACTCGGAGAATTATGGCCGTGTATATACCATTATATATATATACCCTTTTCCTGAGCTTGACACTCAGCAAGCCTTGCAACCAGGCCTTGTTTCACGCGTTTGCAGAAGGTGTGCCATGTCTTTTGACGTGCAGACAATGCAGACGCTTAAAATGGACCACGGACCGCAATGTTTTCCATGACCTTAGCAGTGCCCAAAGCCTTGGTGGTTCATGGCCAGTTGATGGTTGTACTAACTCGAGCTATCGAGTTTGCTGGACATTGCTGTAATATGGGACTACTCCTCAAACAGAAGGGGATGAAGGCCCTGAGCTAAGGACCATGTCCAAAAACAAGGACCCCAAGTCATCCTTGAACACTTCTTAAACTAGGAATTAAGAACCAATTGGTGAAGCAAAAAACAAATGCAACCCAATAGTGTTTTTTTGCTGTCGACGATTTTGGAAGGGAAACCTAAACCGCATAAAGCCGGTTTCTGTATTGGATCATTGAAGGGTCGATCATATCATCTTCGTTGGATACATATGCTACAGGTGCGGGTCCAAATTTAAGACTCTGCGACTCACATTCGCGACCCATTCTCGATCCATTTTGTGCTGGTCAATTCTTCCAGAATCGGTTCAGGGAAAAATATATCACAGTAAAAACCAACAGTAATAATTAATTTTTCATACAGAAATCCAGACTTGGATGATAAACTCATGACAAATCCCATAGATTTCCGATCAAGAAACAAGGATGAACTCCGGCCAGGCGCCTCAGTGGCTCCTGGTACTCCCAGCGCACCACAGGACAGTGGTCAGCTTTATGGACATGGGGGGTTGTCCGAAAACGGGGAATGTCTTGCCTCACTTTCTGGCGATTTAATAGTCCATGGGATTTCCGGGGGGGACCCATAATTTTCCGGTATCAAACCCGCATGGAGACCTACATGGACACATTTTTGGACACATTTGGTTCCAAGGAGAAAGGAATTCCTGCGGTGAGCTATGACTTCCAGATACTTCCAGGCACGCACATATGACCCCCCAGTTTTGCCAATGAGTGGTATACGCCATCCCCAAGTGATGCCATCGGACGTGCCACGGTCTCGCGGCTGATGCGCTGCAGGTGAGTTTTCCAACCTCTTCACCGTGGAGGTACCAGAAGGTGCCGGCAAGCCAGACAAGCAGGCGGGATCAGTGTATGAACCTATTCCGGATTATCTAAAATATAAATAAACGTGGATTCCATACCACAAAAAAGTGAGAATCTGCTATTTAAATGGCTTGCCCTTCACCAAACATCTCAATCTCAGGTGTTTTTTTAATCAGATGAAAACAATTACGGGACAACCCTCTACTTATATCTACTTATGCTGTGGTATATATAGGAATGACCACACAGGTTTCTCTTTAGAAAAACAACCACCAGTTGGAAGAGACTGACCTGACGCCATTATTTTCTTTTTTAAAAGAAACCGCTTCATCAACATTTCCCCATGACATCTTTTTCAACATTTCCGCAAAGCCATAGTGGTAAACCATGGTAAACCCCAATAACCACAATATCACCGTGAGTCACCAGGCCAAAGGTCAGCTACAAAACGGCAAGCCAGCCCTAAAAGTGGCCTTCCGCACTGGTCTCAGGCGATTTTTCGCGCGTTTTTGAAGGATGTGTTCAAAAACAATTGGAATTAGCTGAAGTGTTTGATTTGTGGTATATTTCCCAGATGATGCCTACTCGTTTTTTTCTGTAAAAGCATAGACTGTCAGTATGGAATTTGGGGCAGCGAAGCTTGAGATCGAGCATCCTACTAGCTGCGGGCCGAACCCACACAAAAGGCAGTCCGGGAGTTGCCTTTTTCGGGCGATCCTCATCGCCGAGGTTACAATCCACCGGCTGAGAACCTTCCGGTCTTTGGCCAGACACCCAGGAATTGTCTCGATCAGTGTATCTTGAGTCTACTGTGAGATCTGGAGAAGGCTGTCCCAAAAACAGATGAACATGTGGGAAAAAATGGCAAACATTAAATGGTCCCGGAACACAGATGCAATACATACCTCATTCATTTACTAGGGATGATCCAAAACGAGCGATCTTTTATTTTTTTTAGGAGGTCAAAACCACTAACCAGTTCTTTTTGCGCCGATTTGATTTGATCATTCAATGGCATTGATCATATTAACATATTGTGCCTGCCGGTGAAATACCTATTATATACATCCTCATTTTATGGTTGGTTTATTGGTTTATGTTGGTTTTATCATGCTTCATGCCGATACCTCCAATTTGGCTGGTTAAAAACCCATGAAATTGGGGAGTTATATTGCCAATAAATATGGGGATATCATGGAGATTCACTGTGGATATTTATGGATATATCGCCATTATATAGCCATTATATATCATTATATAACCATTATATAGCCATTATATAGCCATTACATAGCCATAAATACGGTGCAACCTTTCCTGTTTCCTGCCAGGTGGTGTGAGTCTAGACCTGCTTGGTGGCATCGGCCAGTGGATCTCCGTGAAGGCGATACCCATTGGGTAATCGAATATTGCAGTGGAAAATCATCTAGACATTTGAAATGGAGGTTTTTTCCAACGAAGAACAAGAAATGGCTAGTTTTCCATGGGTATCTTAAATTATGAGAGGGTAGAAATGTAGTTTGAAACCCGTTTAATAGGATTTGATTTTCTATCATTCTGGAAGTTTCTAACACCAACCAAGTTTCGGATTGGAGCGACCTAGAACCCAGGAGAACATAGAAACTAGCAGCTGATGCATCACAAATCTGAAGGTTGAAGTCGTTATCATTGTACTTTCGAAATGTGATTCAAAACCGAAAAACAATCAGATGATAGACAACATGTCTAAAACATTACACATACTAGATCATACGGCATGAATGCATCCATGCATGCATGCATGCTGGCATGCAATACATGTATGCATACAGACTGACAGACATACATACAGTGGATATAATATGACATACTGTACTTATAAAGGTAATTATTTTTATACAATTATAGATATGATAGATGAAACGATAACTATAACTATAAAATACACATATGGACATAGAATAGAATATATTTATTCAAATTTTATTCTACACAAGAAGTTTCCCACCCTGACTCAGCCAGGCCAAAGGTGTCTTGGCCGGAGGCTTTGTGCCGCCTGGGGAAACGCCCACCCAGGCTGGGTCAGGGATCAAAATCTCCATTTCAACCCAATCTTTTGAGGGAAAAGATGGACCCCCTATTTTTTTCCACGAAGTCTGGGATTCATCATGTCGATCAGTACTTGGAACCACCCTCAATTGATCATGTCTATCGCAACAAAGCACTTTAGTGAAATATAGAAAAAGGATTAGCTGGAAAACACATCGCCGGTTGCTATCAAATCTATTGGCCTTGGCTTTCTTTTGGCCGAAATGTCCTAGCTGCAGGTGATTCAGCTCAGAATAGAATGAATATCGTGACTTCAGGATGAGTTCAAGTCTGCCAGCATGTTTTTTTGCCGATGCTTGACAGACGTTGATATATGTTGATGTGTTGGTTGGGATTTCTCTTAGATCCACTGAGTTTCTGTTGTTTAACAACACACAGAGGACTTTGGACAGCCTCTTGGGCGGTGTCGCGTGTCGCGCCGGGAGGAGCTGATGATTGAGCTCAAAGCGTATTTGCAGCAGATCTAGAGCAGCTTCCAGCGACACAAAACACGAGCACCAGATTTTCAGGTTGCTCCAAGCCATGAAATCGGGCGGAAAATTCGAGAACATGATCATTTTAGATAATTCTAGATTATACACCTCTTTACTCTTTACCTCCCCAATCCCCCCCCTTGTATCTATGTATATATCTGGGGTGTTGGGAGCAATGCTGCAATTTGGAAGGCACATTGCAACAACCTTTTAGCCAACGTGATTTGTGAAAGGTAGATAAACAATGATAAACTAGACAGGTTGGCGAACCAGCCCAAATGGAAGAGGTTCTACGGTAGCAGAAAGATCTGCTGCCCGGAAAGTGAATTGGAGCGCATGTTGAATTTCACCAGTTTCACTGGATCCAAAGTGTATCACATAGTGAAAATGTGCCAGATGAAGTGGCGTCCCCAGTTCAGTTCGATGTCCATGAATTATGTAACGAAAGAACATGGGGGCACCACTTCCTCCAAACGCAACTGCCTATCCCAGGCTGCGTTTCTTTGAGAGTGTCGTTGCGATAATCCAAAAAGTCTTCTTTCTTCGTTTTTTTTTGGCTTTCCGAAACACTGAGTTGGCTGCAGTGTGACATGCTGGCGGATCTAGCCTGGTGCTAATCTCCCAAGTGCTTCAAGACGGCCAAAACAATCACACGAAAGAGTGTGAGTAGGGACGGCTAGTGCAAAGCATCCTTTCCTCAGGTGTTTCTGCCCTTCAATTTGTACTATGTACAATATCTGTATACAAATAAAGCACGAACCAAATTTAGTTCCAACCTCTACCGTAGTATCTGGTAGCGACATCTCCCATTGTTGTCATATTGTCATGGTGTGCCATTTCCGCTTCAAGATTGCTGGGCACCAGCGGGTGTGCCATTTGGAGCCTCTAAGCTCCGCTTCAGCGGCGGCGCGCCGTGAGAACTCCGTGCCTGGGAGAGCCGTTTTCAGACTGCCATGTAGCCATGTAGAAAAATGACGATGAACCTTGGATCTATATGGATCTATATGGATCTACACAATACGGTAATCACATTTAAATATGTGGTGGCCGGGCCAGGGCAGTCAGGCTCGGAGGTAGTATGAAATACCAGTTCTGTACGTATGTTTAAATGGTAGGGCCCACTCCGCATGTTTAAAAAATTGCAAACCACAGGGAATACATGCAGGTAAATGGTAAATGGTCCAAATATATGGTGCTGATGATTTGGAACACTCTATGAGTCGAGTTGTTAAAGTTAGACCCAAAACAATGGTATTGAGAGCGGCCTGTGGGATTGCTACAGAATCATCAGATGGAAATGGTTGTACGGTACTATACGATTTTGGCTTTGGTGGAAATTCCTTTCATTAAAAATTCGAACTGGGTGGAAGCGCCTGGCTAGAAATTGCTTGCTTCTCTCTTTCTTGCAAGAAATGTCCTAGGTGGAGTTCCTGGGTGGAAGTTCCTTGCTTCTTGGGTGGAATTCCTAGATGAATTCCCTAGGTGGAATTTCGCGGGTGGTGGTGGAAGTTGCTTGTTTCCCGCTTTCCGCGGAAAAAAAAACCTAGGTGGGATTTCTTGGGTGGGGTATCCTGGCTGGCAATTCCTTGCTTTCCTTTGTCTTGGGGAAAAATTGCCTAGGTGGACTTACCTGGCTAGAAATTGCTGGCATCTTTCTTCCTCAGCAAGACTTACCTGGGTGGGGTTTTGTGAGTGGAAATTCCTTAGTTTCCTGTTGTCTGGTTGCAAGTTACTTAGGTGGAGTTTCCTGGGTGGAAGTTCCTTGCAGTGCTCCTGCTCCTTCTTGGAATTCCCTCTTTGGAATTTAAGGGATTTGCTGGCTTCCCTCTGTCTGCAGAGAAATTCCCTAGGCCCTAGGTGGAGCTTCTTGAGTGGGGTATTCTAGCTGGCAATTCCTTGCTTTCCTATGTCTCGGGGATAAATTGCCTAGGTGGACTTACCTGGCTAGAAATTGCTGGAATCTTTCTTCCTCAGCAAGACTTTCCTGGGTGGAGTTTTGTGAGTGGAAATTCCTTAGTTTCCCGTTGTCTGGTTGCAAGTTACTTAGGTGGAGTTTCCTGGGTGGAAGTTCCTTGCAGTGCTCCTGCTCCTTCTTGGAATTCCCTTTTTGATTCCTTTTTGGAATTTAAGGGATTTGCTGGCTTGCCTCTTTCTCCAGAGAAATTTCCTAGGTGGAGTTTCTTGGGTGGGGTATCCTGGCTGGCAATTCCTTGCTTTCCTTTGTCTTGGGGAAAAATTGCCTAGGTGGACTTACCTGGCTAGAAAGTGCTGGATTTTTTCTTCCTCAGCAAGACTTACCTGGGTGGAGTTTTGTGAGTGGAAATTCCTTAGTTTCCCGTTGTGTGGTTGCAAGTTACTTAGGTGGAGTTTCCTGGGTGGAAGTTCCTTGCAGTGCTCCTGCTCCTTCTTGGAATTCCCTTTTTGATTCCTTTTTGGAATTTAAGGGATTTGCTGGCTTGCCTCTTTCTGCAGAGAAATTTCCTAGGTGGAGTTTCTAGGTGGGGCATCCTGGCTGGCAATTCTTTCCTTTTCTTTGTGTTGGGAACCAAATCCTAGGTGGAGTTTCCTGGGTGGGACATCCTGGCAGCTTGGCGTCGTTCTGGTGAAAATTTTCCGATAGGTGGAATTACCTGGCTAGAAATTGCTGACGTCTTTCTTCATCGCCCAGACTCACTTGGAAAGGACCCTCGGGACACCGAGATGTTTCAAAACAATTGCTGGAAAGACCAAAAATGTGAAGCGCAGTGCGGTGGCACAGAGGCTATATGTATCAGAGGATTAATGACTGCTATGTGTTCTTTATAGCAATTTATAACAACCATAAGTGGGCCCTTGTTGTGCGATACTGGTGATATAAAATATCTTGGTGGAAACTTATGTGGAATCCTATGTGTAATTCTATGTGGAGGGAATTCACACTGAGCCGAGTCACTTCAGGGTATTCAAATTCCTTGGCAAACTGCGGAAATGAAGTTGTTGGAAAACTACGCTGGAAAACCATGGAAAAGCATTGGTGGAAAACCATGGAAACACCTTGTCAAAGGCACGGAAAAAAACGGTGGAACATCATGCAACATTATTTTGGGCGGAAACCCATGGACACACCCTGGTGGAAAACCATGGAGCACTCTGATTGGGAAACCCATGGAAAACTTTTGGTGGAAAACAACGGAAAAGCATTGGTGGACAACAAAGGAAAACCGCTGTTGGAAAACTGCAGACAAAATGATGGAACACTTGGAAAACCATTGACAACATCTGGTGGAAAGCCACGGAGAAACAATATCCACTGACTTTTGATTAGGGGCTTGCCGGTACCCTTGCACCATGCGCCAAGTCACATCTGGATATTGGCATTCCTCGATTGGCTCCTTGCCAACCGCTGTTTCTTCAGCTGGCGCCTGTCTATGCTTTGAGCATGCAACCCCAATTGCATGACATTTTCTTGCAAGATTTTCACAACCGGTCCAAACTTTTGGTTCGGCCATGCTTAGAGGAGTGGGGGCCTGACAGCCCCAAAAAAGTATTGGGTCTACAGTATATAAGTCTAATCATGATTATCTGTAAATGAAAAAAGTCTGCCCCCAATCTAGGCTCTGAAAAATGTCGCGTGGGCCACCCTTGCGCCGTGTGACTTCTGGCGCCGTACCCACTGCAGCAGGCGTCTCCACTGCATCCTGATGGCAGCCATAGAACTCTTCGCAATCACAACTTGAAGCTAAAAGTATATGGTTGCACACTTGTCCTTTGGTGGAAACATCTTCTAGGTGGAAATGTCTTGGGTGGACCTGTGGGCCCCGCTTTGGTGCTGCCGACCCTGCCCCATATAAGCCGAAATTGTTCACGAATCAAAAAGGCTTGACCTGACTGCTCATTGTATTCTAAAACATGAAACTTTCATGTTGCAAGACTTTGAAAACCGGTCCGAACTTTTGGTTCGGCCATGCGTTGAGGAGTGGGGGCCTAACAGCCCGAAAAAAACATACGTACGTATTGGATCTAATAATTACGGTTTTTGTAGGTGGGAAAAAGTCTGCCCTCTAAGCCATAGAAAAACCGTCGGACGTCCTTGCGTCATGTCACTTCTGGAGCCGTCTTAGCTGCAGCAGGCGTCTCCATTGCAGCGGGCTTATCAGCCATAGAACTCTTCGCAATCGCCTCTTGAAGCTAAAAGTGTGTGGAAACATGTTCTAGGTGGAAATTTCTTAGGTGGACCTGTGGGCCCCGCTTTGGTGCTGCCGATCCTGCCCCATAAATGCTGAAATTGTTTCACGAATCAAAAAGGCTTGGACCTTGACTGCTCATTGTATTCTAAAACAATGAAAACTTTCATGTTGCAAGACTTTGAAAACCGGTCCGAACTTTTGGTTCGGCCCCGCGTATGGAGTGGGGGCCTAACAGCCCATAAAAAAGTATTGGATCTAATCACATATCCCTGTAGGCGGCAAGAACAAAAACGTCTGCCCGCAATCAAGGTCCTAGAAATACCGCCTTGAAGGCCGGGTCACTTCTGCAGGCGTCTTCCCTGCAGCAGGCCCATCGGGCTTAGAGCTCTTTGTAGTCGCCTGCTGAAGCGCAAACTGTCTCCTGATTCCTCTGGTGGTAACTGCTTTGTGGTGGAAAAGTTCTTAGGTGGAGGGTACAGAACCGAACAGCCCTGAAAGTAGAGTTCGCAAGATATTTGGAAAATCAGCCCCCCAAAAAAACAGCAGAAGTCGGGTAAAAACTAAATGTTTTTTGTCGGACCTTGTTCGGTTAAAAGGCCACAAACGGTTTCGAAAAGTATTTACGGTACATTTTATATGGTTCATTTTATGTTTTTTATTTATTTTTTGTGTGTTTTGAGATTGTTTTCCTCCCACATCGCCGTAATAAAATCATAAAAAATAATAAAACAATAATGTAATTTTCATAAATGCTGATGATTTTTCAATGAAAATTGTTACGTATGATTTTTCATTGTTTTCCACAAAAAAACAAATCATGAAATTTTCAGTCAATAATAATTTATTAAAAAAACATAAATGTGTGTAATATTTGTTTTTTTAAAAAAATTGGATTTTTAAAGGTTTTTTT